CGGCCATGAGCCCCTCAATCTTCTGTTTGTACCCAGGTGGGAGGGGTGCTAATTTTCTATAATTTTTAAGAACTTTAAAAACTTAGGTTTAGTCAAAACCAAAATAAAGTTGGCTGCAGTGATGATACACTTCAAATTACGTCTTTAATCTCCAAATTCTAATTGAATAATTGTACAGGTGAAGCAGATTAATGACAGCCGACTGGTCGGGATGTCGATCTACAATGTCGCTGTCCTCTGTATTATAACGGCCCCCGTCACTCTTGCTATCGCTGACAAACCGAACTCGACCTTTGCATTCGTGGCTCTCGCCAACGTCTTCTGCTGCTATCTGTCAATGGCTCTGGTTTTTGTTCCAAAGGTAGAAACAGACTAGATTATCTAGTACAATAGATGGCATCGTAGAATTTGTACACTCCCGGTACAGCTGCTGTATTCTTACGTCACAAGTGTCAACAGTTTTATTTGTCCGACAAAATTTTTAATAATAGTGATAGTGAAGTGCTTATCTTACAGTGAAATAAATGTAATTTTGTGCACTTTATTTTCTATTTTTACCCTTTTTTATTTAATTTTGGAAAACATACCAACAATGCGAGAAAATGCTGTCTTCCTTGTTATATTTGACACTTGTGACGTCATGTATATGAGTCCATTTCTCTGTTGCCATCTATTGATAATCTATCTGGACAAAGCATACAAATATAACAAATATAACAAATTGGGAAAATTAATAAAGGGGGAATCATAAAGGGGGGAAGGGGTAGTTTAAAAGGGATAATTAAGTAAGGATAAGAAGGTTCATTGAAGAGTGAAGGACCAGAGGATGGTTAAGTTAGAGAGAGTTAGATAATAAAGAATAAGATTTATTTGAAGATAAATCAACATCAATTCTTTCTTAATACACTGCCAACTCTAGTTTTCAACCTACTCTGGCAATTTGTAAAGTTTAAATGATCCAGATTTTAAAATATGATTGATCAATCCAATCGATCAATTGGTAGAAAGTATGCATAGTTAAAAATAATACATTGCATCATTGTAATTAGTAATTATTACATGGTCAATTTACAATCCCTCATCTACACTGGTAAGTTTAAAATCTTTGTCTGTATACTGTACAGTTCATAATTCTTCTCTGTACACTGTACAAGTTCATTATCCTTGTCTGTACACTGTACAGTGCATAATCCTTGTCTGTACACTGTACAGTTCATAATCCTTGTCTGTACACTGTACAGTTCATAATCCTTGTCTGTACACTGTACAGTTCATACTCCTTGTCTGTACACTGTACAAGTTCATAACCCTTGTCTGTACACCGTACAGTTCATAATCCTTGTCTGTACAGTTCATAATCCTTATAAGTACAGTTCATAATTCTTGTCTGTGCAGTACCTAATCCTTGTTTGTACAGTTCATAATCCTTGTCTGTACAGTTCATAATCCTTGTCTTTACAGTTACTAAACCTAGTAAAATAAGTTAAAGGGTTTGACAAAAATAAAAATGAAAACCTTGTGATTTAAAAACCTTAAAGCTTAAAAACTTGAAGTTGAAATCATGAAGATATTACAACCCATAATCATTGAATATTTTTAGACGTATTCATATATAGTTGATATGCCTTAATATGTATTATTTGTTTTATATTTGATGTACTTTAAACAACGATTTATCTACTGTGGTTCCACGTGGGAGAGACACCTAGCGGACAAAAAGTCGTCGTTTTAAGTGCATTGTAAAACTTTAGGTTAAATTAAAATTCACTTAAAGCTTAAGAATAACGTTGAGCCAAAAAAAATCAAAAAATAAACAAATGTAGAAATAAGGAATAATAGAATCTTAAATTTTAAAAATTATTTTTGAAATTATTATTGAAATCTATAGATACTGTTCATTATCCGGCATCCTGGACACGATCCTAGGGAGAGGGAAGACGAGGATGAAAAGAAAAAGGTTTTACATTTTGTTTTTCTAATTATTTAAACGATGAAAAGCTCAAATGTAGCTTCGCGTCGTGGGCTTCTTCTAGAAATAAAAAATTTATTTTTATTTTTATTTTCGATCAATTATCCTCTTGAAGAACTTTGAACATATTACAGCAAAACAATTTCTGCTGCCACTTGTTATGAATTTTCAAAAAAAGAATTCTGTCTCCTGCTATTGAAATTCTTGCTGTTTTAGAAATAACATAATAATTTTGTGATTGGTTTATTACTATATTTGAAGGTTGAGCAAGAGAACAAGCTGAAGTTGATCCTGAAGGAGAACGAGGACCTACAGAAGGATATTGCTGATGTAAGTTTTTTTAATATGGAAAAAATTTGTTTTGAAATTCGAGACTTCGAGAGTTTTGATTGGCCAGAATGTTAAGGTTCAATATCTATCTTTCACCCAAAAAAAAAAATGGGCAAACAATTGAAATTTTAAACGTGTTTGTGAAAATACTTCCCGGATTTTCAATTTCCCTCGTTTTCACATTGAGTTGAAAAATTCTCATGGCGGTCTTTTTCAGATAAATTTTAAAATTTTGGTAAATTTTTGCTCTGTTATCTCAGTATTAGAAGTATTTGCGAAACAAAATCAGAATTCACAAAGATGAATGAAATATCCTTATTTATCAATCTAAACATGTTGTTTCTATTGTGGTTTCTCTATAGACTAGAAATTCAAGGCGCTTCGCGCCCTTCTTTCTAGCCTTAGAGGGCGCTTCGCGCCCATCTTCTAAATTAGTTGTGAACATGTTCTCTTTGTGTAATAAAACAAAACAAAAATAATTCGCGGATTTTCACAAAAAATTTCGCGGATTTTCAAAATTTTTAAAAATTTAATGACGATCGAATTTTGATGGAGACAAATATTTGAAATTTTGATTTTTCATAAACCTTCCCTGGGGTCCCTAGATGTCCCACAAAAAATTTGGGCCCGATCGGTTCAGCCGTTTTGACGTTTATTGGATACAAACAAACAAACAAACAGACAAACAGACAGACAGACAGACAAGCCAAATTTATATATAGATTAAAATTGTGGACATATGCTTTAGAAATAATGAGGAAATTAGACTAAATTTAACAATTCTTTGGATAGAAAAATGACGATACCATTGTAGCTATAAGTTAAAAGTACAGCTGTGAATCAACAAGGCTACTTTTCAGATTGAGGATGAATTGATATTACGTCAAGTATTTGATACCTCCCATATTACCCAAATATTTGAACGATCCCTTAAAATAATAATACTTTTTTCTTTTTCCAGAAGGATTATAAGATCGGGTTGTTGCGGAAGCACCTGACGATGAGGATGGAGGAGGCAGAGAGGGAGGCCAAGGAGAAAATGGCCAGGAACGGGAGCTGTAGGCTCAGGGGTAACTCAGATCTATCCAGACAAGAGTCCCTTAGGGGCATCACAGTACTCAGGGGTCAAGTGCCCGGTCTAGGGACTACAGCAGAATCATATTTGTAAATTTGTCCCTTTCTTTGATATTTCTTTAAATATTTATAGATGTTATAATTTATACGTAATATCCTCACAGGGTTACCCACTAATGAAGGACATTAAAGACGACTTTACAGATGCAAGATGCTATTCTTTGCTATACATCAGTTAAAAGTATCTAAGATGTTTTTTATTACAATGCGGATAATCCTGTTTTAAAAAAATAAACTGTACCCAACCACAAATATTTAAAAATTGAATATTTGAAATCATGCCAAAATTTATATCTGTCGTTGAAAAATGTATTGGTTTAAAAAAATCACTAATTATTATTGTTGTTGAAGTTGCACAAAAGATAAGAATAAACTCCCAGACCCGAAAAACTTTTACGTAAAAAATGACCTCAAGAAAGTTTGAAAAGTTGATGGCTAGTTCCCTAAAAAAACGAAACCAAACCAAACAAATAATGTCATTATTTATTAACCCTATCCATTCCGTTCACTCATTCCTTTCCTTCCCTTACCTTACCTTCCTTCTCCCTCTCCTTACCTTCCTTCTCCCCCTCCTTACCTTCCTTCACCCCCTCCTTTCCTTCCTTCACCCCCTCCTTACCGTACTTCTTCCCTCCCATCTTCCCCTTCTACTCCCCACATACTCCTAAATTTTGCACAAATGCATTTTAATTATTTTTTAATTATAAACCAAAATTATAAATTAATTGTTCTTTAAACGTTTTGTTAACATAAGTTATTCCGAAACAAAAATTCAATTTCTTTATCAACCTGTAATATAAAACTATTTAATTTATATCTTTGTAACCCGTAAATATATGTTATTTTGTTTCTTGACCGTTTATACCTGTATAGGTAGAGAGGATAGAGTTTGTGAGAGATTAAAACAGCACATTTAAGCTGATAAAGACTATGGATGAGTTTAGGCATTTTATACAAACCTGTCATATAGAAAAGAGGTTAGAGCTTGGAAACTAGATGTTATGCAAAGACAAAAATATTTAGGCATTTGTATATTACTAGCCTTAGAGGGCGCTTCGTGCCCATCTTCTAAATTAATTGTGAACATGTTCTCTTTGTGTACATCATAAAACAAAACAAAAATAATTCGCGGATTTTCACAAAAAATTTCGTGGATTTTCAAATTTTAAAAAATTTAATGAAGATCGAATTTTGATGGAGACAAATATTTGAAATTTTGATCATTCATAAACCTTCCCTGGGATCCCTAGATGTCCCAAAAAAAATTTGGGCCCGATCGGTTCAGCCGTTTTGACGTTTATTGGATACAAACAGACAGACAGACAAGCCAAATTTATATATAGATTATTACCTTACATTTGTACAATTGAGGAATAGGAAGACGACTGTAAGAGTCAAGTTATGATTTTTTTAATAGTCAAATAAACATGAAATAGAACAGTTGTGCACTTGTACACAAACTAATTTCACTAAACAAGTTTATTGTCAAGCTAGCTATAACTGGTAACAAATTTTATTAGATTGCTCAAATGTCGTCGTCCTATCATGGTACATTCCAGTCAAGGAGTATGACTGGTTCATTTCATGTACCGGGCTGACTTTCAACTATCCAGGGCAAGCAGTACAGTACAAATACAGACTATACAAAGCAAAACGGGACGGCACGCCAAATGAATGATCTCCTTCTTGTAAAATTGATATGCTATCCTAGAGTTTTATGGATACGACTGTAAATACAAGGGATGTAAGTACAATGCCTACACAATTACTATGCATGACTCGACCAGGAATATTGATTATACGTATTATGTATTAGCAGNCGTAATAACTAAAAATTATAATACAAAAGAAAACCAGAGAATGCGGGGTTGGCCCACAGCGCGCGCGTTTCATAATTGTTTTCTACGATTAAAGAGGAGAAATTTAAAGATATGTCTGACACAATTTTAGTTTTTATTTTATCTTCGAAAAATTATGCGAATGCACCCCAGCTCCCGCCCTCTCTTAAACCTATATTTGTATTTACTAGCCCCTCCCACCTTCAATGTTCTCCGAATTTTTAAGATAGAAAAAATCATTTAATATTGGTATCTTTTTCACTACAATTTGTTTTTATAATCATTATTTTTGAGACACCCTGTGAAAATAATATGCATTTTTTAGTAAACCCTGTTTATGTTTAAGTAGTGAGCATGGTTCCTGGAACCAGGGAATAGGCAAGAAAATTCTTCCAATGATTGATGAATAATTGGTATCGGAAACCTGTACTCGACATGTACTCATATATTTGGACAATAAGTACACTTCTCAACCTGTACTCGACATTTACTCATATATTTGTACATTAGGTACACTTCTAAACCTGTACTAGACATGTACTCATATATTTGGACAATAAGTACACTTCTAAACCTGTTCTTGACAATTACTCATATATTTGAACCATAAGTGCACTTCTAAACCTGTACTCGGCATGTCCTTATATATATACACCAAGCCATTATTTAATGATGATAAAATAGTTTGATTTATAAATATCTTTTTCTGAAACACACTGCATTAGTTCCAATGAATACTAATTCATCTTGCTACATGTAAGCATAAAGCATGATGTTACAATGACGGCCTATAAACAGCCTGTAAACTGCCTCAGTAGATTTCTAAAGGGTGTCCCGGAAATAAATCCCCCTTGTATTAGGAAAACGAGAAAAAAAGTAAACACCAAAGAAACGAAAAATCTAAAAAAAAATAAAATTGTATTTTGAATTTTTAAAATATTATTGGACACCTTGTGGGTGAACTAGAATTTACTCTGTAGAAAAGGAGTCACGATTTCAGCATAAACACACATTTTAATTCAACACGAGAAATGTGACTCTTAAAGGGACTATCCTCGTAATTTGAAGTCATTTAAAATACATTTTTACCTTTTTTTTTTATAAAAATCACCCTTTCTGATTTCTGAGAATAGGGGGATAGCCAAGAATAGGTATGGTGGGGACTGGGAGGGGTTGCTTGCCTACTGTAATATAAAGCATTGAAAAGAAATGAAACCATGAAATTTATCCGTAGGTTTTATTTCATAAAGAGTCCGTGAAATCGATGTTTGGTATTTTTTGCAAAACTCAACGATTCTCTCTCTCTCTCTCTCTCTCTGATAGTCTTTTCTAAACCTACAGAAAACACACGTTTTTTCATTTCTCCTTTGATTCTCTTCCCTCCAAAAGATCTGAACATTGAACAGTCAAAGTTTGAAATATCAAAGGTTTACGCCATCAGGATACAAAGACAATGAGATTAGAACAGTATAGAGTTGGTGGCGAGCGATTGTTCATCTCTTAATATCCTACTCTTACACATGGTTTCTTTCTCCTGCCACCCCTCTTCCTATCCCACCTATCCTTTCTCCAGCTAATCCTCTTCCTATCCCACCTATCCTTTCTCCAGCTAACCCTCTTCCTATCCTTTCTATCCTTTCTCCAGCTAATCCTCTTCCTATCGCACCTATCATTTCTCCAGCTAATCCTCTTCCTATCCCACCTATCCTTTCTACAGCAAACCCTCTTCCTATCCCACTTATCTTTTCTCCAGCTAATCCTCTTCCTATCCCACCTATCCTTTCTCCAGCCATCCCTAATCCTTTCCCACCTTTTATTTCTCCAGCCACCCCTCTTCCTATCCCACCTATCCTTTCTCCAGCTAACCCTCTTCCTATCCCACCTATCCTTTCTCCAGCTGACCCTTTTCCTATGCCACCTATCCTTTCTCCAGGCACCCCTCTTCCTATCCCACCTATCCTTTCTCCAGCCACCCCTAATCCTATCCCACCTTTTATTTCTCCAGCCACCCCTCTTCCTATCCCACCTATTCTTTCTCCAGCTAACCCTCTTCCTATCCCACCTATCCTTTCTCCAGGCACCCCTCTTCCTATCCCACCTATCCTTTCTCCAGGCACCGACTCTTCCTATCCCACCTATCCTTTCTCCAGGCACCCTTCTTCCTATCCCACCTATCCTTTCTCCAGGCACCCCTCTTCCTATCCCACCTATCCTTTCTCCAGCCACCCCTAATCCTATCCCACCTGTTATTTCTCCAGCCACCCCTCTTACTATTCCACCTATTCTTTCTCCCCAATAAACCCAATAACCCCCCTATTTCCGCCATTGTATCCCACCTATCCTTTCTCCAGCCACCCCTTTTCCTATCCCTATCCCTAATAGAAAACTGTTTGGAGAAATCATTACAAAGCCTATTTAAATATCCTTAGTTCCCGAATCATTAGTAAGTCAAGGGTGTTCGAAAAATTTAACAATCTTGGTAAAAACTGAATAAACAGGGTGTCTCAGAAAGATGGCAATAAGTAAACCCCACAATATGATTGAAATTAACATCAGCCAGTTTTCTTGAAACACTCTGTATAAAGGCAGTGATGGAAGATGAACCCTGAGCAGAAAATCCAGGATACAAGCTACACTGAGCAAGATTTAACCCGAGTAATTGAAAAAAGAGAAATCAGGGTCCTTCCCTTATCCTAGTAAATGTAAACAAAGAAAATCTGAATTAGAAAGTCTGGGAGCTGTTCCAGGGTTAACTGTTTGGTTACGCATCTATTTAATGTTTGAAAATACGTCTTGTGTTTCCTAACGATGTTAACCCGGTGTGTTAATTTTAAGTAAGAATGTGTTAAATGGTATCCTACTGCGCCCAATTAACAGAGAGGAGGGGTGTATTGGTTACTAAGTGTATTTATGCTGCTTGTAATGCTATTACAGGAGGCAAATGTTTGGAATTATACATGCACGGCATATACTGCTACTGCTACCTACTACTACTGCTACTGCTACTGCTACTGCTACTGCTACTGCTACTGCTACTGCTTCTGCTACTGCTACTGCTACTGCTACTGCTACTGCTACTGTTACTGCTACTGCTACTGCTACTGTTACTGTTACTTTTACTGCTACTGCTACTGCTGCTGCTACTGATACTGCTACTGCTTCCTACTGCTACCTACTGCTACTGCTTCTGCTACTGCTACTGCTACAGCTACTGCTACTGCTACTGCTACCTACTGCTACCTACTGCTACTGCTGCTGCTACTGTTACTGCTACTGTTACTGCTACTAACCCAGTTCGCTTATAATTTAAGATTATTGAATTCCCACCAAATACAAAGAATTTTAATGATGAATATTTTTAATCTCTACATGATATCTAATCTTAACAGGCCTTAATTATCTTTTTTTGATGACTGAAAGGGTAAAGGGGGGAGAGAAGGGGCTCAAAAAAAGTAGGGGGGGGGGAGTGAATAGATATTTTTATATAGTTAATGTTTTATAAAGAAAGACCCAGCACATTTAAGGAACTGAGTACTTTAGATAAATTGGAGAGGAGTGGGAGGCAGGTTAATGTAGGACAGGCCATTTAAGTTTCAAAGTGAAAATATAAATTTTTACAATAGTCGCATCTATACTATATAAAGTAGGTTTGTTTGTATGTTCGATCACAAATCATGAAACCTTAGAGATCGATCATCTGCATTTTGTCTAATTTAGAAAATTTATTCCAATTTTTAACGGACATTAGACGTAATTTCAAGTAACCAGCTGGAGTTATAGAATGGTGTGTCTTCATAATTTCTGTTGCAGAAATCCGCAACTTACGTTTATTAAGAACCCACGATCAAATAATCTGTATGTCAAACCTTCAATTAATTGTTCATTCTTGTGTTTTTTATAGGATTACAAAATTAGAGATATGTTTAAGCAGTTCCTTTATTGAGACTCTGAAAATTAGAGGTCCGAATTTTATGAATTTGAGCCTCGTCTCAAATCCGCCAAAAAACAGTTTTCAAT